TGGCGGAGCAGATCTGAGCAGCCGCAGCCGCGCCGTGGATGGAGCCAGCAACGGGGATCTGGCACAGCCCACGCACGGCGATTACACCTCGGGGGACAACCACAACCCTCGGGGGCACCGGGATCTCGGACTACAAGGACGGGACGGATGGATGGACACACAGGCAGGGTTCTCCAGCCTACACGGCACTCACAGTTTATTTCTCTCTAGCTGGGGGCTGTGCTGCCGGGCGGCTGCGGCGAAGCCCTCTCAGGTGCTCTCCTCCCCGGGCTGCGGGCAGTCCAGCCAGTACTGGGCGATGGAGCGCGGGTAGCGGGGCTGCACCAGGTCCACGCGCTTGGTGCGCAGGTTGACGCGGTAGTATTTGTCTGGGAGGAAGGGGAGATGGCTGTCAGGACTTCCCGCCGGGACCTGCCAGCCCCACCGCGTCCCAGAGCTCGGGGACATCGCAGAGTGAGAGGAGGTCTCCCCCTGCACCGGCAGCCCCGGTTCCGCATCTCTCCCAGATCCCGCCGCCCCGGACTCACCTCCTACAAAGAAGTAGACGCTCTGGAGGGTCTCACACTGGGAGCCCGACAGCCAGTCGCTTTCGACGCCCGCGGACTCTGAGTCGTTTTGCAGCCAGCTCCAGAAACCCAAATTCAGTGACCGGTGGCTCTTGTACCTCTTGCGCTGACGGCGAGACTTCCTCCTCCGGGGCTGCTGGGAGGCCACGTAGATCCTGCCGGCCATGGCGGCATCCAGCCGGCCGGGCACCCCCCGCCAGTCTTTGCTGATGTACCGCGGGCTGCTCGCCCCGGCTGGCAAAGGGGCAGAGGGCGAGTTAGAGGGGCAGCAATGTATGGGGGGGAGCCCAGCCCAGCCCCACAGACAGCCCCCCAGCACCTGCTCCCAGACCCACAGGGATGCTCCAAAGGATCCCAGCCCGGATGGGACGTGTGACACGGGCCAGGCAGAGCCGGGAGCAACCCCTCACCCCGCCGTGGTTGGGATCAGCCCTGTGCCGCCGAGCCCCTTTCTCCTCCTCTCCATCTTTCATTTCTCTTGCCCAGGGCTGGGGTTTTCCTACGGCATCTCCAGCTCCAGTGGGAATAAACAATACCCAGCAGTGACACTGTGGTGCGAGATGGTCAGTGATGGTCTCGGTAGCGTGGGGCATGAGGGTTGCAAGGGGTGGGATTTGGGATGCTGTGGGAGATGTGGTCTGGAGGGGTTCCTGTGTGTAGTCTGGGCTCCTGCCTGGCACGGCGGCTCACCCAGCCTACCCGCGCTCCCGGACATCACTCCCAGCTCCCCGGGTGCTTGCACCCCTGGCGCCCCATCAGTGTGGGCTACGTTGGCATACGCCAGCCCTTTCCCCCGGGGCTGGCCCAGCCCTTACGCATCCTGCCGCCGAAGAGGATCTGGAAGACGTCCTCCCAGCTGTCGCGGTTCATGAAGGCGTAGTGGTTGAACACGGTCGAGGGGGAGGACTTCTCGCAGTCCGCCTGCGTGGGCTGGTGGGCGAAGTCGTAGGACCAGTAGTACTTGTCTAGGAGAGGATGCGCGGGGCGTTAGTGGGGGACACGCACTCGGGGGGGGAGCAGTAGCTAGAGAAGGGTCCTGCCCACGGCTGTCGGTGGGGGGCTGCACTCCTTACCCTTGAAAAAATAGACTCTCTCATTGCCGTGGTAGCTGTGCGCGGGGAGGGCGAAGGCCGCGTCGACGCTGTTCGGGATGCCTTCGAAGCCCTCGGAGATGTCGCGTGGGTACCCGGAGTCCAGGACTCCATCGTCAAAGCGCCAGTACTGGCTGCCCTGGGGGGCGCAGGGGAGAGGGGGGGTGAGGGGACTGGGTGCAGCATCCCCCCAGGCACAGGTCTGCGGGGGTGAGCGAGCAGATGCTGGGAAGCCCCACGCTGAGGCCGTGGCCGCCTGGAGTCTCGGACAGCCACGGGGATTTGGGGATATCAGGCAGCCACTGTGTGCGTGCATGTGTGGAGGGGGACGGGGTGGGTTTGGGGGCTGTACCGGCCACCCCGGGAGCAGCCCCAGCCCTGCAGCCACGTTCTTGCCCACCTTGAACAGATAAGTCTTGCCCTGGCAGTTGATGCGTGTGAAGGCTGCATCGATGGGGCCCTCGATGCCCCAAACGTCGCTGATGAGTTTGGGGTAGCCGGGCCGCACGTTCGTCTCGTCCAGCTCGTAAAAGTACTTCCCTGGGGAGAGAGGGAAGGTGGGAGCGGTAGGAGGGACTGCAGCCACCAGCATGGGGTGACAGCCCGGCAGCGTGTCCCATGCCTGGGAAAGGTCTCCAAGCTACCTCGGAAAGCATAAAGGGAACCGTTCTTCAGGTCAGTGAAGGCATCAAAAGGTTTCCTGCTGCACAGCTCCTCGGGCTCGTCCACAGGTTCATGCTCCCCGACCCCGTCCGGCGTGGTGCTGGGCACCTCCTCCACGGGCACCTCCGGCAGCGTCTCCTCGGGGCCTGGCTTGGTCTCCAGCGTGGGCTCCACCGGCAACGGAGCCGGAGCCGTAGGCAGTTCTGTGGGGGGTGCCTCGGTGCCCTCTGCCGGACCGAAGTCGACGGTGAGGTTGTAGTCAAGGTAGTCATCCTCCGGCAAGGCGAACACATCTCCTCGGGTCACTGTGGAGAGAAGCGGGTTGGTCCCCGGGAGCACTGGGCATCTCCCATGGGGTCTGGGCGCAGGACCCGCTTGCTCCCCGGCAATATGGATTTTCACGGACCACCGGGGCACCCACAGGCTGCCAAAAAACCCTGGTGTTGCAACACCCTGAGCACCAAATCTTGGCACTGTCTTCACCCTGTGGACACGGGTGGGTGCAGAGCTGACCCAGCACAGAGCCCTCTGAGCCCCTGCGGTGTTGGGCACCCACCGCCACCCCGGCAGACCCTGCTGGTACCTTTGGCTTTGCAGACGGTGGAGTAATCACTGCAGCAGCTCTGGTAGTACACGCAGAGGGTGTCACACTGGCACTTGTGCCGCGCGTCGAAGCCATCGTCGCAGCGGCCCACGCAGGAGTCTGCAAGAGCAGGAGGAGTAATGTAGGGTGGGCAGCGGGGCTTTTTAGTCTGGAGAAGAGAAGACTGAGGGGGGATCTTATCAATGCTTATCAGTCCTCAAAGGGAGTGTGCCAGGGGGATGGGAACAGTCTGTTTCCAGTGGTGCCCAGTGACAGGACAAAGGGCAACGGGCACAAACTGGAACATAGGAAGTTCCATCTTAACATGAGGAGGAACTTCTTTCCTGTGAGGGTGGCAGAGCAGTGGCACAGGCTGTCTAGAGAGGTGGGGGAGTCTCCCACTCTGGAGCCATTCCAAACCCGCCTGGATGCCGTCCTGTGCAACTGCTGGAGGTGCCCCTGCTCTGGCAGGGGGG